TGAATTTAGACTAAATATTGATTCTAACAAATCTCTTATATCACCCCGAGTTTGATTTGATACTGGGGGAAATTAGGTCATTATAAGCACAATAGTGACTTATATCTACTMATCACAGATTTTATTTTGAAAAGCCTTAATATAGGACTTTTATTTATTTATTTATTTTAATGTACCCTAGTACTAAACGAAGCGAACCACTTGAATCACAGATCGGATTCATAATGTTATATGTGAACAGGGCCTCAGTGCAGGTTTTATTCACAGGTCTGTTCTGTCTAGTTGTAATAATATAACCGAGTAACAAACAGACAAGAGCAGAAACAAACAGGTCTGTTTCCGGTCCGATGACCCGGTTCGGCAGGTGAACTCGGTTCGTGCCTTCGCGGGCCTTAACAACATGTACACAAACACAATGGTCTATTTAACGCGTTATTAAAACATAAAAACTCACCAGTGTGTTGCTCCATGTGTGTACCGCTCTGAGTCATCGCGTGCTTCTGACAAATATGTCCGTAGTTTAACAAGCTRATCGAATATCCGTTCCGCTTCTCACAGTTCCGCCGGCTGACGATCCGTTCAGAGGCGGGAGGGAGGAGCTTGTAAAATAAAGAAAAGCTTATTCATGCTTATTTAAAACTAAAATCTGAAAAAAAAAAAGTATTCAAATTCAATTCAAAAATACTTTATTCATCCCAGAGGGAAAATTCKTTATTCAGTATTCAATAATTATTCAGTCTCTTTATGTCATTTTTGGTAGTTTGTAAAGGATGGTATGTTCCTCAGTTCTGAGGGTTCAGGTTTCAACCATTTCATACGGTGGCCGACAGGGGCAGCTGAGCAGCTGTTTCACTTTATTATCATAAAAACAATATTTTCTGTGATTYAACTATATTTATTATTTATTAATATTTATTGAATCACACTTGCTAAAGTGTTAAATTTTGATAATTTGACAACTTGAACATGCCTGACATCCAGTAAAATGACCTTCACTCCACCGTCATCCTGTCTGGATCTGATTTTCTCTTAAAAGAAAATAAATTTGTTTACAGTCCCAGTTAAGTTTTAAACCCAGATGAGATTAAATGAGATGATGATCTGTAACTGTATCTGTAAAATTAATGCTCAGCAGATTAAACACTGATCTGATCTCTGCAGCTCTACAAACACAAGGAAACTTCAAACAAATGTCTCATTTCAACAATAGTAAAATGTTGAAACTTTATGCTATTASTTTTTATAATCCAGATTGTATTTAGAGCTGAAGGCTTGTTTCTTTTGATAAATATAGAACATTTATAGAAAAATTAAATTGAAAATTAAATAATTTCTTAGATTTGTTTAATTACATTTCAAAAATGGAAGATTTTTTTTGGACTGAATTTATTTGTGGATATAATTGTGATATTTTTCTTTCAACTGTTTTAACTGGACTCTAGGAAACTGATTTATACTTAATAAATAAATATTAAAATTAAGTGATTGAAATTTGTTCCACTTTTATTCTCTGGCTTTTGCTTCATTGATGTGATGTCAATAGTTTTTTATCAGTTGTTTCTTTGTTTTTATCCTTTTAATTTTTATTGTTGAGTG